TTTTTTCCTGAAATAAGCTGAAAATGTCTATCCCTCTAGAAATTGGAAGGCAAGAACTGTGCCTGGGAAACAGGGATTGTTTAGAACATACAGCCCCCTTAAGACCACCGCAAGCCACTTAGGGACCCAGTGCTGATCTTCATTCGCCCAAATGGTGGATCATGTTGTGAGATGCTGGCCCAACTGTTCTCTCTGCTTTTGCATTCCTTGCCATGAACACTGACAACTCTCTCATTGCTACTCGCGGTTCCTCTGGCAGGAGGGGCAGTTCTGCTATTCCTCTGCAGGAAAGTCAAGCTTCGCTGTGAATTGGAAAGTCCCAAGGGAAAGTATTTTGACAGCTTGCACACATCTGATCGTAAGCATCTGTGCAAGCTTTTGAAGCCAGAAAAGGCATTGGCAGGAGGATTCCTGAGCTGCTCTGTCCTCAGATCTGAGCAGGGTGTAGGTTCAGATCTCAGCGGACAGAGAAAGAGAGAATCAAGGGGACAATTTCCCCTAGATTCTCTCTTGGAACAGGTGTGCTATTAGGAGGGAGGGGAAGTTGAAAGGGGTGAATGTGGACTCTGTTTGCATCTCCAGCAAAGCATTTAAAACAGCAGGCAATTTCCAGAAAGTGAAATCCTAAAGTCTGCTCAGAAGCTGATCTCTGGGCCTGGGAGAACAAGGTTCAAATCCTCACTCAGCTGTGAAGTTAACTGGGTGACTGTTATGAACTCTCAGACCAACCTACCTTACAGGGCAGTTATGAGGATAAAACGAGAAGGGGTAGAGCTCTTGGTTTGGAGCTCTCGGACAGGAGGAGGAGTGTCCTAGACGGGGCTGGAGACATTGTAGGGAGTGCATGCCTTGGAAAATTCAAGGGAGGAGCCTAGAATATTACTGTATCCCAGATCTTGGGAGGCAAATAGGATCTCGTCAGGGCTTGTTCTCTGTGGTGAGAAGAGACAGGGATTCAGGCAGAAAGTAAACTGGCCTTCCTAGATTCCTTCTCTCAGAGTCAGGCCTCTTGTTCCAGAACAAATAAGCCTCAGGAACAAACTGAGATTCCATGCTTCTGGCCCACCAATCCTGTGTGAAATTCTTTCGTAGAGATTCGCAACTGGGACGAATACAGCTCCGTCACAAGTACGGACTGGCTCTACAGGTGTGAATTCGGAGGTTTGCAGAGGGAGCTGTTGCTGTAACCTTGGCTTTCTCAGAGACTCTGGGGCAGCTAGGGGGCTGGCTGGCCCACCTCCTTCCATTTCTGCCTCCCCAAGAAGAATTCCCCCCACAGAAAAAGCTGCCAGTCATTTTGTATTCCATGTAGCTGGGCAAACATATTTAGGCAAAAATGGCCTCCTTCATCAACAAAAATGGCTCCATTTAAGCAAGGGTTCTAGTTTTCTCCAAAACGAAAGCACTGGAACTTTCCACTGCAGATGTGCATGGCAGGGTATAATTCGAACATTTAATCCCTTTTGCACCGATAGAGAAGTGGAGGCGCTAAAGGGGGGAAAGTGTGTGTGACCATTACCCTGAGCCCGTTAATAGAATCAATTCCACTCACCTTGCTGGGTCTAGAACCCAAGAGTCCTGGTTCCCAGGGATTCCCCAGAGTTATGGTTTAACAGCAGAGCTGAGCACACCAGTAAATGGAAGCAATAGGCAGCCTTGTCTCATGCATGTCATGAGGTCTGACCCAGCTGGGAAAAGAAACATCACACCCATGCCATTAGAACTAATTCCCTGCCTACTGACAGTCATGTCGTTCCACTTAGAACTGCTGCCCAGACCCTTGACATGAAGACAGTAAATATTATCATCAGTGCTGGCTCCAGGATTGTGGTAGTCTTGAGGCAAGGCACCTCCCATAGGACTTAATATTTTGGATGACATATAGAGTATGCACCAAGATCTCTCTCTCTCCCTGCCTCTGAGCTTCTGTGCCAAGTGAGGAGAGCAGTGATCATGGTGCCGTGGGTCTCTTGCCAGTCTTGGCAAACACCCAGCCCTCCAGTTCTCAGGGACCCCCATCCTCCCCCAGTAATGGAAGTGTGTCATAGAAGGAAGAGAGAAACACGAGAAACGACTCTGAGGAACTCATAGATGGTAAATAATGGAGGAAAACTTGTCCTGTTGCATTTCTGCATGTTGTTCTCTCCGGGGATCTGAGTAGGGGTGCTTGTTTGCTTTCACTGTTCCGCCTGCATAGCTGTAAACAAAGCCCTATACAGCCTAGGACCCTTGTACCTACAGGACCGCCTCTCCTGGTATGTCCCACGGAGGACCTTACGGTCTTCAAATAAAAACCTTCCTTAGTGTTTGTTGCCAAGTTCTATCCTAATCCCATTCTGAGAACTAGAAGCATTTGCACCAAGGGTAGGAAACCTGTGCTCCTTTCAGGTATTGTTAACACTCCAACTCCCAGGAGCACCAGACAACATGGCCAGGAAGGATGGGAGTTGTAGTTCAACACCAGGAGGGTACCACACTGGCCACCCCTGGGTTACATCTTGGAGATAATGGGCCACAGGGAGGTTAGGCTGGCCTCAACCAGAGCCAGGGCTTTGTCGGCCGTGGCCCCAATCTGGTGAAATGCTCTGTCACGGGAGACTAGGGCCCTGCAGGATTTGACACAGAACTCATGGTTGCCATTAATTTGACTATGAATTGATTTTAGAATGTATTACAATTAATTGATTGTGATTTTATGTAAACCGTGTTTACTGTGGTTAGCCGCTCTGAGCCCGGCTTCGGTTGGGGAGGGCGGGATATAAATAAATAATCATCATAATCATCATCATAAATGTTGCAAATTGCCAATGCTTTCCAACCCAAAGGAACTCCAGTAAGTGCCACCCGTGGCGGCTTCTCAACACTTGGGTAAAAGGGGAGCATGTAGCAATACCAGATTTTGAGCAGTCCAAGGTGGACACAGGATCCTACCCCAGACACGTGGGCTGAAATGGTAACCTATGATATCCATGAGAGCCTTGCCTTCCTGGGTACAATTTTGTGACATTTTAGAGACCCGTTTATTCTGGCATGAGATTTTACGCAGGTTCCAGCATTTGGTGGAATCCCCTCACTTCACGCAGGTTACTCAGAGATGAGAAGAGGCCCAGGCTGGCTCCAAAGTTATGTGGCGGGTGCCTCATGCAAACCTAAACTGTGGCACTCTCAGTTCAATTGCCCTTACAGCCACTGAGGCCTTGGCAAGTGCCCCTGCCCCACATTTACTAGCACTATCCACAGTGGCAACACAAGCCTGGCCCTAAATTAGGCCAAAATAAGGCAGTCGCCTCAGGTGGCCAAAGAGAGGGAAGCAGTAACTGTTTCTGCTCTGGCTTTTCCTTCTAAGCCCTCCCCTCAGCTGCTTCCCAGCCTGCCATACCTTCCCTAAACTAGCCTGCTCTCAGGTCCAATGGAGGACAAGGTCCCATTGCCTGTGCTGACGTAATATTTTACTGCCAGAATTAGAGACGGGGCTGTTTTTGGCGGCAAAAAGCCGCTTCCAGCTCCACCTTCAAGGTGTGGGTATGCATAGAGACAGGCAAGTTGACAGGGCGATACCTAAAAATAGAAGGAATGAAGCGTGGGGGGGGGGCATCCTGACAGCTGATATGATATACATGTACGCAATATGTAATTAATCCCACATGCGCACCATGCATTGAAAGAACACCTCCTAAAAAAAAAGTAATGCTGGGATCTCTAGTTTGTTAAGGGTACAGTGGTACCTCAGGTTACATATGCTTCAGGTTACAGACTCCGCTAACCCAGAAATAGTACCTTGGGTTAAGAACTTTGCTTCAAGATGAGAACAGAAATTGTGCAGTGGCAGCGGGAGGCCCCATTAGCTAAAGTGGTACCTCAGGTTTCAGGTTAAGAACAGACCTCCAGAACGAATTCTTAACCCGAGGTACCACTGTACTGGGAAGTGTAGCTCTGTGTGGTGTAAACTACAATCCCAGCATTCCTTGCAGGGGTGGATGTGCTTTAAATGTATGTTGTATATATGGAATTATTTACATATTGCATACATGTATATCACCTTGGCTATTCTTTTAAATAAGGTGTGCACATGGCCCTGAGGGGCAGATGGGGCTTGTCAACCTGGGAAGGGGGAAAGAAAACTCTGATCCTGCCTTGCAGGAGATCTTGAGGAGAAGCAAAAGCTACACAAATCCAGAGTGCTTGGATGGTGCCTTGTACGCCTCCTTCCTGCAACTCCTGCAGCCAAGCTGGTGCCAAGCATATTGCTCTGCTTTCTTCTGGAGCACATCAGCGAGGCTGAGAGGGGTCCTGTCGTCTGGGCAGCCCAGGACCTCCATAAGCACTGCTTGTGCCCTGGGGACGTCAAGACAGACGGATGCCAACAGTATAGTCCTAATCATTTGCTGCAGCAGCAAATGACAAATCCTGGACAATTCCTACTCCCTTGAGTTGTTTGTGATTAGAGACCTACCACAAGTCCTTACACAAACCCTGAGAAACTGTCATTGGGATTTGGCTGTGCCAACTACTCTGTTTCTAAAGTGTTTTGTGTACAATGCTATGATGAATACAAAACGGTAAGACAAAGAAAAGAAAAGAGCTGTCATCCAGTTTGATGACGGAAATTTCAGTTCCGCAGCTTCTCATAACAACCGATCATTGAAGGCTTTGTTTCCTTTAGTATATCACCAACCTTAAGCTCCGATGTGGAAGAGGTTCATGCCATTTACTATTTGCCAACTCTCATGTTGCTTCTTCCTATTATCAACAGCCAGTTACAGAGAGGGAGGTGCCAGGCCAGGGCTGAAATCTTTCTGGAAGGGACACCCTCTTTGGCTGCCAAAGCTCTGCCTGGAGCTTCAGTGTGTAGCCAATTACCTGTTTCTCAGGAGTAGCAGAAAGGCAACTTTTCATAGACACTGCTTCGCATGGTGTTCTAGGACTGACCCTGTAGTTCATAAAAGGGGTGAACCCCAGTTCACAATACAGCTTGAGGTTTTATTATTTATTATTATTTTCTATACTGCCTTTCATCCAAGGATCACAGGGCAGTTTTACAATATAAAAACACAAAAATACGTAGCATAGTAAGAAACAAAAACTATCACCCCAGCCCACGTTTAAAAGCCATGGATTGTTTAATTAGCCAAAGGCCTGGTAAAAGAGAACCGTTTCTGCCTGGTGCCTAAAGATGTATAATGAAGGCACCGGCCGAACCTCCCTGGGGAGGACATTCCATAAATGGGGAGCCACTGCAGAAAAGGCCTGTTCTCATGTTGCCACCCTCCTGATCTCTCATGGAATAGGCACACAAAGAAGGGTCTCAGATGATGAACTGTTTATGTGGGGAAGAGGTGGTCCTTGAGATATTGTGGTCCAGAACAGTTCAGGGCTTTAGAAGTCAAAACCAGCACTTTGAATTGGGCCCAGAAATTACTTGGCAGCCAGTGCAGTTGTGCCAGGATCGGTGTAATATGCTCAAACCATCTTACTCCAGTGAGCAACCTGGCTGCCAAATTCTGCACCAGCTGAACTTTCTGAACTGTCTTCCGAGGCAATCCCACATATAACGCGTTGTAGTCTAACCTAGAGAGGTTAGTGAATTGGGACAAATGCTGGAGCTGGAAATTGGGTGTCCAGACTTCATTAGGACCACTGTCAGAGGAGCCAGTATCACCATGATGGCAGCAACTCTGGGACTTGCAGCCTGTCTTATCCTCACAATTTTACATAATGCCTACCTTCAGGCCAACTGGCTCGTATCTTGCAGTCAGCATGGAAGTAACTACAGTCAAACCTTGCTTGTTGAACATAATCCATTCCGGAAGACTGTTCGACTTCCAAAACGTTTGACAACTGAGGCGTGGCTTTTAATTGGTTGCAAGAGCTTCTTGCACTCAAGCAGAAGCCGCGTCAGATGTTTGGGTTCCAAAAAACATTCAAAAACTGGAGCATTTACTTCCAGTTTTTGGGCGTTCAGGAGCCAAAACATTCGAAAACGGAGCCGTTCGAGAACTGAGGTTTGATCGTATTGGAAAATTTGCTTCCATCAAACAGCTGTGGCCCAGGCAAAGTGAGCCAAGGTCCCCTAGAAGCACAATCTTCTGAACTCAAGGGAAGGGACCCTAGAGCTCATCTACCCCAACCCCCTGCAATACGGAAAGATGTAGCTGTCCTATACGAAGATTGAACGTCTAACCTTGGCATTATCAGCACCACGCTCTAACCAACTGTCCCGTTTACTCTTCCCATAAGTAAATCAAAGATGTAGCTATGACAAGATATGGGCTCTTGCTTGCACTTTTTTTCCGCTCTGTAAATGATGGGTTGGCGTTTAGACGTGACACGTTTTGGAATCACAGCTCCATAGAGAAAGAGTGTGACCTGGGAATGACTCAAGATTTGAGGCAATATTCTAGCTATGCATTATATGCACTACATCGTGTTGGCATATAAGCACACAAGGCACTCCTTAGTGTTGCCAAGTTCTATCCTAATCCCATTCTGAGAACTAGAAGCATTTACACCAAGGGTAGGAAACCTGTGCTCCTTTCAGTTATTGTTAACACTCCAACTCCCAAGAGCACCAGACAAGATGGCCAGGAAGGATGGGCATTGTAGTTCAACACCAGGAGGGTACCACACTGGCCACTCCTGGGTTACATGCTCCCCACCCTTGATTTGCACCATCACGGTTATGGAATGAAGTCATCCTGAATCAGATTCGACACAGTTCTTGGTGGCTTACCACCAGAAGTTCATTTAAGAACTGCACAATGACCTTTTTGATGTTAAGCGTCCTTGTTCCACTGTTCCAAGTAAAGCCCATGTCTTTTGCAGATACATAGCCTGTGTTTCCCAGTGCCTAACACTTCTCATCCCCACAGCAATCTCTATTTAGCTACCCTTCCATGCTTACTCTCTTTGCAGTTGGCACTCTAAGCAGGTTTTGCCTAGTAATACACGGAGTACTATTGTTTCCCTAAGCAAATTCACCAATAAACTGTAGGTGTTCAGTTAACTATGATAGATTCTATGCAAGTATAACAACACTGGCCTTTTGTTCCTTATGGTTGCAATCCAGTCCAGTATCAACCACAGTCAAATTATTCTCCCGCAACCCACAGAATCTAGCAAAGTATTTGCCATCTACAAAATATAGTTTCGCTGCTGGCAGCTCAATTCTCCAGTTACCAAGCTTGTATGGATATACATCAAATATTGAATCCTTCCTGGATAGGGTTGCCATGTTTGTCACTGCCGAAAGATCTGCAGCTTCAGTGTTGCCTATGGCAGTTCTGCTGCCTGAAGCAGGCGGTCGAAAGGTGCCCTCCAACACACCATGGCCAATATTTTAAAGTCTGGTTGCACCATTCAGACACCAGTTCCTGCCTTCATCCATCCATCCATCCGACAGATAGATTCTTTCCACTTTCTGTACCACTTCAGGCAGGTCACTTCACCCTGTTGGAAGGAAAAGCTGGCTCTGGTACTTTTAAACAACTGCACGACAGGAAGAAATCCAACAAGTAACCTAAAGTGCAATTATATAAATTACTTGGAAGAAGTTTATTCCATGTAAACAGATTCAGCTTTTCTTGGTACAGATTTTTATTTTAAAAAAGAATTTCCCCATTTTGACTTTTAACACAGGTCCACATTTTCTATCTGTGCTGTTTTAGTGTGTATCAACTTATAATATGTTGTCTACCAACTGTTCACTCCTTCGTCTCATCACATCTCTGCCTGTGAGCCTCTAGGGCTGGAAACCTGCTGGTTTCTTTCCAACACCATTATTTCTGTCTGGGCAGACCAGGCACACCAAAGCAGCTCTGAATGAAATCAGCAAGCAGCACTGCTTTATTTAGATTTTCATTCCTTTATCACATCAGCTTTAAAACAAGGAGAGACAAAAGTGCCTGAGGCCTCGAAGAAAAAGGGCCATTTGAGTTGAATGATTACACAGGGGATCAAAAGTGGAAAGAAGTTGCATACATATATGAGACAGAAATGTTTTAAATAAGACGGACCCGTTCAAGCACATAGCACTATGAATGCCACATTTCATGAGAGGGAGGGAGATTATGGGATGGGGGAGAGATTGAACTCCAAAGGCGACGGCCTCGCTTCTTGCCACCCAATCTACTTGCTGTTCCTTTTCAGTTCATTTGTAAATTGGGTTGGCTGGAGGTGACTCCCTGACCCCACTGGACCCCATTTGGAGTCAGCAAAGCTATGAAGAAGAATGAAGCAAACTTGTCCCAGAGGCATAAACATAGGCTGGACTCTGAATGTAGGCTGGACATTGTTAAAGGCTTCAAGATCTACAAAAGAGAGGCTGGGTTAACAAGAAAGCAACTTGTATGCTTCCATTCTCTCAGCAGGTGAACACAAATTTAAGCTTCCAATTTAAGCTTCCAATTTAAGCTTTGAAAATATACAGGATAAACAAAACATTTTGGTGTTGCTGGGAGAAAATCAAAATGGCACTCTACCTCCTATTTGTTGAAAGGGGAACACAATCCACTGAGATTTTTTCTCATGAAAGTCACACAGAAGTCCAATTCAATACCCCATCTCTTGTAATCCCAAATCTTCTGCCTATGAACATTATTGGACACCCTTATATCTTGAATTTTCACTCAAATAATTTTGAACAAGGTGTTTCTTCGGCTTTAGCTCTTTGAATAACTTTGTTCAGGGCTGGTGGGAAGCCTATATAAATGATCCCACAAAAAATAAAAACCAGGCCAAACATGTGCAGTGGGATTCTGGCACAAACAGTCCTCAAAGCCAGACAGCCCTCCCTCAACACCTTTGCGTTTGTGCACACATGCCAGCCCAAAACTAAATAACCCCCGCCAAAAAACTTGCAAAAGAAATAAGCAGCACACAACTAATACGAAGGCAGAGTAAAAGCACACACTTATAAATATAACACAGAGCAACAAGTTTGGATAAGGTAGAAGTCTTGTTCCAATGGAATCTGACCATCAGCACCAAGTGCAGCAAGAAGGCTCCAAAGGTGGAATAACGGAAAATGGAGTTTATGTCACAGCCTGTGAAACTTCTGCTTGGCTTCCAATGCCAGGAAATGGCAATGAAAGCAGAAACTAGGGGAGTTAGAGATGGAGCTTAGTAATGCACCGCACCCTGTGATAAGCAAGACTGCCCCCTAGTGGAATCTCAGAAGCAGAGATACAGCCATACATGCTGTATATTATCACTACCCTTTATTAATGAACATCCACCAGGAACTTCTCATATGCAGACTTCATGGATGCTAACAGGAGCTGCACACAAAAAAGAGATCCTGGTTATTTTAGTTAGGAAAGCTTCCCAGTGGACTACAACCCATGGGTCAGGTCTTTATTCCATGGGGCAGCTGCCTCATGGCAAGATTCCTTTGCTAGAGGCACACAGAGGGAACAGGAGGGGGGGCGTGGTGATGGCAGAAGTAGGGGAGGAGGGAGAGAAGAGCGAGGAGGAACAGGGGCTCAGACAAGTGTGGCAAGGGGTCATCTCCCAATTCCCAAAGCAAATAATATCTAGGCACACCTTAAAGCTACAAGTAATGCTAATTAAGCAACTCCTCTTTCCCCAACAACCCCCCTGTTAATAAACCAATCACGTTTCCAATGTCAGTTAAAGCCATTATATTATTCAGACAGTTGATTCAGTTCCTCATGGTGCAGTATTTGGGGGGGGGGGGGGAGTGAGGCAGGCAGAGGAAGACAATCATCCTAAAACCACCAGACTTTGAGGACTGCAATCCTGAAAGGAAGTTTTCTGAGTGTGGCCAAAAGGTTGGGAGCTGATGTGCATCCTGTCCTCAGTGTATAGGGGAATTATGTCTCTTGATTATAATGTAGGGACATCCTGGAAGTTAAATAACCAAGGAGACCTGGTTCAGACACAGTGACTCCAACAGCATCCTGTAGGAAGCAAGCCACCATATTGGGGTATGTGTCTATGAACCACCTTTTGCAAGCCAAGCTAGACACTCTGCATTCATCCAGAATCAACTTCTTTTAAAAAATACGACAATATGGGACCTATGTAATGGATGTAGCTCCAAAACAGGTTATTCTACCTTTCCTTGACCTCTGTTCTCAAAAGGACTTATGCCTTCTGATTAATTGTTCTTCACCTCTGCTGCCTTCTGCCATCAGTGTCAATATGGAAGGAGTTGGTGAAAGGGTGTAGAGAGCTGTACAGACCTCCTCCAATGTAGCTTCATTGTTTTAAACTAAGCTACAGCTCCTTCTAGTGGGCATTTCATTAAAAGAATGAGCTCATGCCTTTTAAAAAATATAGATAGATAGGACTTGCAGTTCTGCATCCCACCCCCCAAATGAAGTACAGATGCCTCTGTGACACTAAGTTATCCGAAGTCCCTTTTAATTAGCCCTGCTTTCATTCTCTCTTATTGACTTTGATGGTTCTCAGGTTGTTAAAATCCACCTAACTCCAACCAATCAAGAAAGGAAGCTGCTTAAGACCTCACTGCTGATGGCAAGCCTCCTTTGTGGCCCCTGCCGATTTCTGCTCTTGGCCTGCAGAGATTTAAAAGCCCATGTTAGTGCAAAGGCTGCTCTGGCTAGAAAAGATGTGATGGCCTGGGACACTTCACCTCATTCCCACCTTCCAGTATATCCTTTTTCTAAGCCAAAAATCTTGGAGAAGGAATTTCATGTAGTGTTATGGCAATCATTCAGTTTGTCGGACAGAATGACCCTTCTCTTCTACCCTCCTGCATGCTGTTCTGGGGATTCTCCTGACCCCCTCAGAGCAAATTTAAGGGGGTGTGGAGGAGGGAATGGGAAGCCCTGTTGTGCAGGCAGATGTCCTTACGCAGGTTTCCACAGAACTAGTTAGTTGAAACCCACCCTGGGGATTTAAGCCACAGCTAGCTGTGAATTAAGGCAAGCAAATGAACACATGGAGGAATGGGGGGGCAGAACAGGGCACACTGTGGCACCCCCAACATTAAGAGAGAGGGGGGAGGGGGGGAGTCTCAAAATAATTTGCCACTGAATCTAGGAATTGCACATCTAAAATGGAAACTGAACCCTAACACTGGAGTTAAAACAAATGAATGTTTCCAATGGCCTTTAGGGACACGGTTGAGCCCATTTTGCTCATCTGAAGCAGAGTGAGCCAACAACAATGTACCTTTTGGCCGGAAAAGAAGTGATGCTACTGACTGAACAGTATTCAGCACAGTCTACTTTTTGTACCATCTACGGCATCTCCCACCCAGTCTGTTCCAAGGCAGAAAGGTAGCAGCACAGCCTATTCAGGTATCAACCCTCAATAATCAAACAGTTTTAAGACAGGGTCACAAGTGATTTGGTTTCCAGTTTAACCTAGAAACAGCAAGAATGGAGATTCAAGAATCAAAACACTTTTTCTCTATCAAGAGGCAAACACTACTACCATTTGCTACTATTTGACTTCAGATTAATGCATTAAGATTAGAAGCAGCTTGAGTTCTCTCTGTCTAATGATACAGAATCTGTTGCTACATGTTCCAGCGCAATCCTGCCCTGCAAGCTAAAGATGCATAGAGAAACAATTGTTAAGAATTTGGCAACCTGCGTTTAAATAAGAAAGCCAGTTAAAGAGACTGGAAACAAAACCCACCTGACCAGGCAATGGCTGTTTTTACAGCAAGCAAATCTTGGATGATACATCAGCTGAGGAGAACGCTAGTTAAGAGAAAGTGTGCGAGCCAGACACAAGGTATTACTTACCCAAGAGCAAGATCTATAAGGGCACTGTGGCATCAAGACTCCATTCAACTCTCCCAATCCACTCTTTTACTAGACTCTTGACTCCCCATGAGTATTTAATTCACAAAAGACCACTGAGATGGCCCAATTTAAAAAAGGACAACCTGTTCGGATTAAAAATTGGCCAGTAAGGGCAATGGGGTGTTACAAGTCCACTTTTAAACACACCAAGCATATTTTTTCCAAGGCTGCAAGTTCAGTTCTTTAAAAGCGCTTTCAAGCTAAAACAGAAAGGCAATACTAGAGGAATGAACAAAATTATAGAGAAAATAAAGTGCTTTTAAAAAACCCAAATGGGCAAAAACATTTGAATAACTCAGCATAAAAGGCAAGTTTTTGCAGAGAGGCGTATGTGCAGGGAAATTAAGGTCACATCAAGATTCAGCATTTAAAAATGCCTTTGGCAAACCTGCCCAGAATGGAAGAGACCAGGTTACAGAAGGGTCAGAAATCAATCTTGATTGCTTAGTGACCAACATTCTAAGGAGGACATTAGTAAGTGGGTAGATAAGAAGGGGAAATGCATGTCAAGTATTGACTGGGAGGAGGGAAAGGGGCTAACAGAGTGTAAAACCTGGCTGCTCCAGGGTAGATCTTCCTAGGAAGATAATTAGCACTTGGAAGGGTAGGAGGCACAGGAGATAGATGGAACATCTCTGCCAAGATATTTGCACAAAGAGATAGATAAAAACAGAGTACATTTGACACAGAAGGTGTATTGAGTGGGACAATCCAACTTAGCCGCTCCAGGCCACCTCCCATGAAGATTACTGTAGAGCTGAGACCAAGCCGGATTACTCATTGTTCACCCTTCCACATCAGTGCTTGCACCATAATGGCAGCAGGGAACCAGTCCCCACATGTCAAGAGAAGAAAAGGGGTGGGGTGTGGGGTCACAACGCAGCAGGAGATTCAGCCGCTGCCTCATCACCCTCTTCAGAGTCCCAGACTTCTGACTGCAGGTAGTTGGCAAAGAGGGCCTTGGCGCGATGAAGGATCTTGTTCAGGTTGTGACGACGGACCAAGCGGTCAAAATGCATGGCCAGCTCATTGTAGTCCATGTTGTTCTTGATGATATGGTCTCGGTGCTCCAGGAGGATGGCGAGGCACAGGAAGAGCACAAAGGGGTTGCCTCTGCCAAACTCCTGCGGGGGTGGCAGGCTGACTGCAGCAACAGGAGAAGGAGCAGCAGTTCCACGGGAGGGAGAGGAAGGGGTGTGAACCACGGAGTCCCCCTTCTCCTCATCTGACTGGCTTTCCTCATTGCCGTTGGTTGAGGAGGAGGCTGAGTCTCGAGAGGGTGGAGTCAAGGCCCGAAGGGATGGAGCAGAAAAGGACTTGGCCACGTTAGTTGTCTGGATCAATGGATCCTGCTCATTGCTACGGTCCTCGTCCTCTTCTACTGAGCGCTGAAATCTGGGCGATGGGTCATCCTCTGAACTGTCCTCATTATGAGTGCTGTAATACTTGAACTCCCCAAAGCTAGACTGTTTCACTAGTGTCTTTTCATCAGAAACTGCCCCTTGGCAGGGCTGGTCCCCAGCTGCCTCAAAACTGCAAGCTGGACGCAACATGTGTCTCCTTCGAACAGGCTGGCTGCTGTCTCCGGGCCTGGCCGGCGGGCCCACCAACTCCACTTCCTTCTCAGGAGGGTCAGGAGGAAAGGAGCTCCAGGTGACCTCCAGCATGCGCAAGGCATCCTCAAAGGCAAACTCACGCTTGAGTTCCAGCAGCAGCCAGCGATAGCAGAAGAAGAGGTCATCGGCGCCCCGGGAGAGGAGGTAGGAGTAGAACTCTGGGTCTGAATGGCGGAGGAGAAGCTTGAGGTGGGAGAACTTCACCGACATGACTTCACCATCCACCTGGAAATTGCCCTCCAGGCGTTTCATGATGCCACAGAAGCAGATGAAGGCGTGAGCTTCGTTGTCCATGACAGCCAGAATGGGGGAGGCGATGTCACTCATGCCCTGGCAATAGGAGATTTGTGGGTGGGTGACGGCATAGGTGGTCAAGAGGTCGTGCAGGGCTGTCAGGTGGGGGTTGTCATCTGAGCCTGCGTAGTAGGGATGGGTGCGATCTGTTCGCAGAACGTCCTTCAGCACGTTGCTGCGAATGAAGTCCAGGTCCTCGGAGCTGGCGCGAGCTTCCCACTCCCCCTTCAGCTGCTCGTACTCCCGAGTCTTCCGCTTCATGTAATCCATGCGCTCCTGACCCGTCAAACCATCAGGATAGACATTTAGCAAGTATCGCCAAACCACCTGTGGGAAACATGGAGGATGACTCAACACCGGAACAGCTTTTCCCATCAATGGCAACAAGCTGAAGGATCAGTTACAGGAAGACACCCGCCCTCAAAGCAGCGGACACGCACCCATGCCAAGGTCAAGACTAATGGCCTCAGAGTGGGAGCAAAGGGAAAGAAGCCTTGCTCTGGCCCCCTTAACCACATGCCTGTCTCTCGAGGCAGAAAACTGACCTCCAGAATCCCCATCCCCACCTTGCGTAGAGAGGGCTCAACTCCACCGTGGAAAATTCGGAGACGCAGCTCTGCAGGTCTTGTCAACTGTCCTTCATGGTTCAGGTACGTGTGGAACTCGGAGTCGCTCAGCGGGGGCTTGAAAGGTTTGACGTCCTCGCCATAGGACCAGCTGAGTGCTTGTTGGACCTTAGACAGTGTCCTGCCCACCTGCCAGTTGACAAAAGTAAAGCTGAGGTCAGAAGGTAACCTGTACACAACCATGCTCAAAAGAAAGAACTTGTAAGTGCTACAACATGAGCTCAGTAACTTAAAACACAAAGGTAAGAGAACGGGCAACCTGCCTCAGACACTGTATATATGTACGTATTTACATCTTGGCTTTAGGGTCACCTCTGTAGCTTAGGAGAGGGAGTTAATCTTCTGAGCCAAAAAAGCTGGTATGGAGACAAACTGGATCTTTTGTGGTTCCAGCTAGGCTGGAAGATAATGGAAGTTAGAACTGCTTTCTCTCCTCTGCCTCTTTCCATCCAAGGAGTTAAGAAGTACCTCCTGGATATTTGTTTGTGGAACATCACATCGTGAAGTCTAAGTCAAAAGAATCATCCTCTTACGGCTTACCTGGGAGATGATGGACTGAGTGAAGGGCAGGGCGGCTGCTGCCAGAGACCGCTTCTCCACCAGCAGCAGGTCGGTACTGATCACATCCTTGGGGCTGATGATGTCCCAGTCTTCTAGCAGGGGGCCTAAGCGAATATGGCAATGACATGAGCCAACTCCCCAAGCCCAGTATCTGCCATTCCCTCACCACCACCCAGCATAATTTCACAAATCTCACTGCATGTTGAGAAGTGCTACAGAAAGGACACAAACAAAATAATCATGCTGTGCATACCTCACTTTAAAAAGAAAAAAGAGCATAAAGCAAAGTAGAGTTCCATGATCTGTATAAATGATGAAAACAAAGTATTAACATTTACACATTCTTGCTTATTTTACATAATTCTGCTTCTGCCGCGAAGGGTCAATTCTTCTGCTGGATAATAATAAAGCATAATCACATGCTTGAAAACAATAATATGTATCAAAAAGCCCTAGAAATTTGCTTTGAAAGAAGGATGGGTTACAGGGGACTGGATTCTACAGTCAGTACCAAACTCGAGTGTTGCAAACACAGAATCCACAAAGTCTGAAAAAAGGTTTGGGCTGCTTTGCATGCCACCCATAAACGGGAGTGATCAAACTGCACTCTATAAAAAGGCAACAGGGAGTTCTAAAGTAAAACTGAGCAATATACAGTAAGCCAGAGTTGGAAAGGTATGGGGGGGCATAGTCAATCCCCCCTCTTCAGCCCTAAGATTTTTTTCCCTTAGAGTCTCCAGTAAATCTGATGCTTCATTTTGTACCTAAATCAACATCAAGTGATTCAAATCATTCCTTTCTTTACAGCAGCAATCAGGTAACATTTCTACAAGAGTAAACAACACTAGCAGAGAAGACAAAAGAACTGAATTCCTTGGACATGTCCATAGCATAAGGAGCCAAGTGGGGACTTGAGATGGGACCAAGGGGTGCAAGGACTGGAACCAGGACTCCCAGCTCTCTTGTTCAGTGTGTGTGTGTGTTACTTACTATCCTCTGAGGGCTTGATGTCTATCTTGAGCTGCAAGTAAGGCTTGGAGGCTCCAGCAAAGGCCATGCCCAGATCCCAATCTGACATCAATGGCAAATATGATTCTTGGCCTTGCTTATCTCGGCCCAGATAGCTGATGGCAAAATTCTTCTTCCTAAGGTGAGTAAAGACAGACATGTTCATATTCTTTCCCCGCATTTAAAACAGGACACCTCTTTTGTTTAATGGAACCTACATGGCTGTTCTTATGATGTTGTTTAAAAAACAACAATACGCAGTCACAGTTGCTGAATACGTTTAATTCACTGCTGGTAGACATGGTACATACATGCAGTGGAGCAAATATATGTGCCTTCATCATTCACAACTGTACAAGAAGCATGCATGCTGCGTCCCACACCAAAACAAGATCTATTACATGTAAAGTGGCTCTCAGGACAAAGTTTCCTACTGTCTGTGTAGCAGACAGGCTGTCCAGGCTGTGATGAAATCAGGTCTGGCTTACTCAGGACGTAACAGCTAAATCCCATCCAGACTTAGCACCTTGTTGTGCTAACATCTGGGGGTTTTCTGCAAGGGAACCTATCTCACTCTCTGCATGAGGTAATTGTTTAGTTCTCACAAGCAAAGAGGATGGTAGCAAAATGATTTGTTGGATATTACCATGTGCTTTTTTAATTATGATTTTACTGTAAATTTCAGTCACTACTGAAAACAGAAACTGTTAATACTAATGAAGGTAAAGATTGTTCATGTTTATTTGAAATGACAGAAGACTGGTGATCCAAAGTTTAACCACTCTCCCTCTCCTTACTTATGAGGAGATCCCTTGGTATGAGAGGCTCTCCTTTGAACATGGGATCAAATCCGTAGCTTTCAGAAGATTTGATGTCAGAACCGGGAAAGGAATGCAAGACTTCCTGTTCTCATGTCACTTTTACTCATGTCCCTTCAAACCTCATTCCCCTCCTAGATACGAAAACAGAAGCTCCATCTCTCAGCTCCACCTTCACTGACCCCATTTTCATTTAGTGGGAAAGTAGCAAGGGAGCTAAAAGTCGGGACTACCCAGTTCCATATTTTCTATCCTCTTCCCAGACTCACCCATTTAGGTCAAATGCCCTGATGAGGATGTGCTGCAATACATCCAGTGAGGTGATCTGTGGATCCACGGCGAAGGTACGGAACTCAGGTTGCAAAAAGCCTTCACATTTCTGAAAGGATTACAAAAAGTAAGCAGGAGCAAAGAACCAACCCTATAACTTGGAGGAAGCAGAGATCCAGTGAATGAGAGGTTGGGGAAAACAAGTTCAGAATGCCACCCAACTATAATCTCTTAATTTCCCTATTGACAAAAATAAAAAGTTTGTCTCCAAATCTCCACACCACCAGCAACACACTCTGCTTTTCTACCACAATGATACTAAGTTCTAAGGGGTCGTTCTACCCACAGTGAAAACAGCCCTTTAAATGCTATCTATATATACCAAACACATAAGCCTGATACTTTACAGACCAAAGAACAGATCCTTCCCCTAGGATAACCCTAACGAGAGAGGAACAACGAATGGTTCTATTGTTAGTGTATTAATACACAAAGGGGATAGCTCACTGACCATGAACTGATGCAATTCATTTACATCAATGGAGTTACACCAAGCTAAGTGCTTGGCGATCTCTCTCACAAAAGTAGGCCTTCTGAAGTATATCGGTTGGTGTAACTTGCTTCTTATCAACCTAGACTTTATCAAGGGGCAAATTCAGCTCTTTTACATCAGATTTACTACTGGAAAGATTACTAGTGGGAAAGGTAGATCTCATACACAGGTGTGTTTCTCAATATTTTGTAACCAGGGATACTGGGGGCCAAACATGTGAGCTGAAACTTACAAAATATTTGAGCTATCACTCAGCTATTGCAGTATCTACATAGCTACAAGGTTGGCAATAATCCTTCAACATCGCACAAAAGAAAAAGGGTCCAAAATGGCTTTTGGCTACTTCCATATACAATGTCATCTCTTCACACTAACAGAAACAATGGAGTGAGCAGATCTTAACGCAGTCTGGAGTATGGTCCAGATTATATCATTTACAGAAGGTTTACAGCCACAGAGACATAGTCCTACCTATGTCTGATGGGTGGTGTACAAATACAGTGGTGCCCCGCAAGACGAATGCCTCGCAAGACAGAAAACCCGCTAGACGAAAGGGTTTTCCGTTTTTCAATGCGCTTCGCAGGACGAATTTCCCTGTGGGCTTGCTTCGCAAGACGAAAATGTCTTGCGAGTCTTGAGATTTTTTTCCGCTCCCCCCCCCTTTTTCTAAGCCGCTAAGCCTTTAATAGCCTTTTAGCAGCTAAGCCGCTAAGCCTTTAATAGCCGCTAAACCGCTAATAGCGCTAATCCGCTAATAGGGTTGCTTCGCAAGACGAAAAAACCGTTAGACGAAGATACTCACAGAACGGATTAATTTCGTCTTGCGAGGCACCACTGTAATAAATTTATTATTATTATTAGCAAAACAGTGGCTTCCAATTAAAAAACCAACTGCACAACCCTAAGTATATTACTTTGATAATCCCACTGAATCAATCAACATACTTCCAAGGTGAGTAAACAAGCTTTACCAGGAAACAAGCCAGTGAACTCAGTTGAACCTATCCCCAAGCATGCTTACATCAGTCTGCCAAAATAACACTTTTGACTAGTATAAAACCAAATACAGCGATACTTCAGTTCTCAAATGAAATCTGTTCCAAAAGCCCATTCATCTTAAGAGAGGCGCGGCTTCCCATTGGTTGCAAGAGTTTCTTGCACTCAGAAGCCAGGTCACACGTTCGGGTTCTGAAAAACGTTCAAAAACGGAAACATTTATTTCCGGGTTTTTGACGTTTGAGAACCAAAACATATGATGACGGAGGCGTTCGGGAACCGAGGTTCCACTCCACTAATTACATTACTAACAGAAAAATTTGAGGGGAGAAATATTTGCCCAAAATGTAATCTAAATATCTATATACTGTCAAAGTAACAGGTGCTAGAAACCTGACAAGAGAAGCAGGTGCAGCTACTGCAAACTAGACAATCTGAGTACAAAACATGTGTTTTATAGATCAGTGTGTTATAGATTATCTGTATCTGAAGAAGAGTGCATCACACTAAAGCTCATACCTAAAACTACTCAGTTGGTCTCTAAGGTGCTACATTATAATTTTTAAACCCTTTTGGAAGGATTCTTTTAAAGACTTTCTTAGATCATATAACTTTTTTGAAGACTTGATTCTTTTAAGGGAGTTTTTAGGTTTTTAAGAAGAGTCTTAACTATCTTCTAAAAGAACTGTTTTAATTTATTTCAACTACGGCAGACCAACACGGCTGCCTACTTGAATATAGATTAGTACAACCATTAGGGACAAAGTCATAGAATTGTAGAGTCGGGAGAAACCCAAGAGTTATCAAGTTGTCCTTATTTTGGAAAGCGTGTAACTGAAGGCATTCTTCTTGTGAAGAAGAAATCTTCTCCAAACCTGTAAGCGGTTGTGTATAGTGAATCAACAATTGTGAACTCATTCTCTTTCTTCTTCTACGAAATGAAATGCAGTTCCTTTACAACATTATTTTACACTCATAGATTGTCTGCAGCTACTATTAAATTTAGTAAAGTTTCTTAGAGTAATAAAGCGCTAAGAAGTGCGAATTCCCATTGCCCGCTGAGAGCAAGTTAATCTCTCTCTCCACATCTAAGTTCCTAAACTGTCACTAATAACTGTGTAAAAGAGTCAACACACTACTTGTTATTTGTATCCACCAAGGAGGCCAATCACAATTTGACAGCAATGAGCAGTACATCAAATTGAAAGAAAGCGGCTCTAACCCTTTGAGAATTAGAAGTATGGCTACTATAAACAACTGTTTGGTGTGATGTCTGCATTGAAACAACGACTTGTGCAAGACAGTAAGTTCAAAGGCTGAGCAGGAATTTGCCCTTGCTCAGCTCTAGCCCAGGAGTGGGAAACGTGTGGCCCTTTAGCAATGCCATGGTCCAGCATGGCCAGTGGCCATGGGTGATGGGGGTCGTAGTTCAGCAGCATACCTGAAAGACCACTTTCTTCCCTTAGAGATCCTCCTAGGCATTAAGATCGGCAGAGGGAAGTCTTTGGGTAGTTCCACTGCATAGTTGTCAACCTTCCCTTTTTTTGCAGGAAATTCCCTTATTCCAGCGCTGTTTCCCACTGCTATCCCGGATTGTTAGATATCCCGTAGACTGTCCCCGGGACAGGTGAGGCTGCTGATCCCTTACAGTGGTACCTCGGGTTACATACGCTTCAGGTTACAGACTCCTCTAGCTCATAAATAGTACCTTGGGTTAAGAACTTTGCTTAGGATGAGAACAGAAATCGTGTTCCAGCGGCACGGCGGCAGCAGGAAGCCCCATTAGCTAAAGTGGTGCTTCAGGTTAAGAACAGTTTCAGGTTAAGAACGGACCTCCGGAACGAATTGAGTACTTAACCCGAGGTACCACTGTATACAGAATCAAGGACAATGTACTTAATCCGAGGTACGACTGTATTTTCAAATCTGAAAGTTGACAGCTATGTTCCACTGCCCTCAGAGGTTCAGCAGGTAGGTGGCCCAGGAGTTTTTTCTCTGCGGCAGCCCCGAAGTGGTGCAATTCCTTCCCCGCAGAGGTGCACCTGGCACCTTTATTTTGGAGCTTTCGTGAAATGCTGAAGGCACACACATACGTTTAGGAACCTCATTATGCTCTGTCTTACACTCTGCTTTTGCCATTCCATCTTTAAATCTCCGCAGCCCACCCTAGGACCAGGTGGCTGAAAGGGCAAGCCAGGAACCTAATTGTAAACCAAAACCCAGCCGTCGGAGGGCCGTCGGTTTCCCACGCTGCTCTAACCGCTACGTGGCACTGCCTGCCGTATCCCTCCTGAAAGAAAGGGCGGCTCCTCTCGGGTCTCCGTCCCACAACCCGCCTCAGTACGAAACACGGTTCCCTCCGCCGGCCCCTGGGACATCAGCCGCCCTTCCCCCCGCCCCCGAGTCCCCTCAGGCCGCTCACCTTGACCCGCACGCGGACCACCTCGTGCTCCTCCTCCTCGGGCGCCCCGGCCCCGCCCCCTCCCGGCGCCCCCGCCGCCGCCGCCGCCATCCCGGCGGCCCCTCCACCTTCTGGCGTGTGAGGGCGGGGGGAGGAGGCGCCTCGCGCCGGGGCCGTTGCAGCCCCCTCCCCCTCCACGTCACGCGCCCGGCGGGGGGGGGAGGAGGGGGAAGAGGGCCCCGCGCCGTCAGCCGCCTCGCTCCGCCGGGACTCCCGCGTCAGGCAGGCGGGGGGCAGGCGGACGGAGAGGCGCCGCTTCCATCACGTGACCTTCCCCCCCCCCCGCGCGCCGGCTACTTCCGCCCCGTGCGGCGCTGACGTCACCGCCCCGGCCTTAAAGGCGCAGAGCGCAAAGCTTGCTCAGGTGTTTTATTTAAGCGCGTGTCCGCGAGGGAGGAGGAGGCGGCGGCTGAACTGCTTCGCCTCTGCGGGGTTTTCGGCGCGAGTTTCCCGCTCTTTCCGTGCTTTAATCGCCTGAGGAACTGAAATGCGCATGGTGGCGAGGGAAGGGTTAAGAGGAAGCGGCTCTCGCGAACGAAACAAAAGGGGGAGGAAGTGAGAGGACCAACCAATCAGGAAAGGGGCCGTGACGAGCAACATCCGGGTCAAACGGAAACTAGTGCACGGCAATAGCCTTGGGTGAAGGGCAACAACATCCGGGTCACCCGGAGTCCACGTTCGGCTGGATGCACCAGCTGCATCCGGGTCGAACAGGGACGCGCGTCCGAGCCATAGATACCAAATAAGGAGAGAGCTGCCTACGTAGGGCCCCTCACTCCGACTTCTGTATGCGGAAGCATCTTGCGCCACGGGGCTGGCCAAACACGTAGGGGGGGCGTGCCGTTTTGTTCATTGAAGCCAATGGGAAAGGGGGCCGTACCGGTGACGTCACAATAGCGCGCTTGGGATAACGGACGGGCCTTTATTGTACCAGGATTGGTCTGTGATCATAGAATCTTAAAGAGTTGGAAGGGGCTCCGAGGGTCATTTAGTCCAACCCCCTGCAAGAAATATCAGCTAAAGCATCCATGACAGGTGGCCATCCACTCTCTGCTTAAAAACATCCAAGGAAGGAGAGTCTACAACCTGCGGAGGATGTAACAACACAATTGTTGATGTATTTATTTATGAAAATATGTATATACTACCGTATCTTCAAGATACATCGCATCGATTTACAACGACGTAAAAACAAGCAATGAATGAATAAAAAGTTAGGATATATTAAAAGCAAGCCAGTAGGGTTGTGTGGGTTGTAATCTTAATTGCCTACAGAGGCCTGGCAGAACAGAAAGGTTTTTAGCAGGCGTTTAAAAGGCGGCACAGAAAAATGTTTTTTACCCCACCTTTGGTGAGGGACGCAAGGCAGCTTACAAATAAAATAAGAGCATTAATAGAATTAAATCTCTCTCTATTCTAATCTGTTATGTAAGATAACATCATGACAAACGAGACCATGATTGCATCTGCTTTCCACTGGGAGGCTTTCAGCAGCTGGGACTCAGAGATGGCTCTTATGAGCTACTGGGGCAGCTGCAGGTCACGTGCCAACACTCCTGAGCCTCGCAAAGGGAGTAGGCAGACAAATGATAAATGTTCTTGGCAAGCATAGCTACTATGTCACTTGAAAACAAGTGATACTTCACTCTTTTTAATACCCCTACCAGGGTTCACCGGGACGCGGGTGGCGCTGTGGTCTAAACCACAGAGCCTAGGGCTTTCCGATTGGAAGGTTGGCGGTTCGAATCCCCATAATGGGGTGAGCTCCCGTTGCTCGGTCCTACTCCTGCCAACCTAGTAGTTCGAAAGCATGTCAAAGTGCAAGTAATTAAAAAGGCACCTCTCCGATAGGAAGGTATACGGTGTTTCTGTGCGCTGCTCTGGTTCGCCAGAAGCAGCTTAGTCATGTTGGCTATCTGTGGACAAACACCGGCTCCCTCGGCCTATGGAGCGAGATGAACGCGCAACCCCAGAGTCGTCTGCAACTGGACCTAACGGTCAGGGGTACCTTTACCAGGGTTCACCAAGGTTCACCTACTGCACAAGTGTGCACGTGCTATTTACATCAGCCTATCTCGACCTCACGCCTTCCACAATGCCAATCTTCTTTCATCGCTGGCCATGCTGGCTTTTAAAGCAGGGTGTGTTAGCATACTGACTACAGCAGGTTTGCTTTTTGAAAACTCAAAGAAGTTTAATGAACTGCTTTATTTCGCAAAAGATCTGGATGTACTTATTGTAGAAACGCTCCAACTCAAACCATATTCATTAGCATTAATACTCTTGATAGGGAGTTAAGAGGGGAAGGAGGAACAGCATGTAAACACATGCACATACTAACTACTTATCAAAGGCATCCCAAAAGAGAAACAGAAAGAGTGTTGCACCAGAGACTGTTATAAAATATAGATGGAACATAGGTGGTAAAATGCAGCTCTAAGATATGCAGGTAACTGCCTCTCTGCCAAAACTATTTCACAAAGTTACTGTGAGGATAATATCAATTAAACCTGCACTCATAACTCTTCCTCTACCTTTAAAGTAAGTGGAGAAAAGTTACAAGTTAACCCTCAGATAGATCAAAGCAAGAATTAAAGTAACAGAACTAAAAAAAGAGCTTCATTACATTTTTCAGTTGGTTTCACCACCTAACCATTTAAGGCAGTGATGCCGAACCTTTTAGAGACCACGTGCCCAAACTGCAACCCAAAACCCACTTATTTATTGTAAAGTGCCAACACGACAATTTAACATGTATATCTCATTTTTTCTGTGTTTCACGTTTCCTCTTTATGACTGCTGTTGGAATAAATAATCCTTCATAAAAGTTATTGCATTACATTCTTCATTAAATTATCTTTCCACTGATATATAATCTTACGGTATAACTCAGTGTTTATTTCCGAAAAAAATGTTTAGGGGTACTTTCATTTTGACTCAAGAAAATCACCACCGGGGGTGGGTGTGTGCGGAATAAATACAGTTCAAATTGGGAAAAAGAAATACAGTTCAAATTGGGGAACCTGAACACCTAAACCCGGAAATGAGTGTTCCGGTTTTGGAACTTTTTTCGGAAGCTGAGGAGGGCCTGGCTGCCTTCAGGTGGTGCAGGGGCTCTCAGATGCAGCTCCGGGCTACTTGCACCTTCCCCAACCCCAGCAACTATTCAGCCTGGCTGCCTTCACTGGGTTGGAGGGATCTGATTTGGAGGGGGGGCTCCTTTAAACTTCTTCCTTGATGGGAGTGCAGCCGCGAACCCCTCAACAGAAATTGTGACGGAGCCTGCACGTCCCCAGCTGAGCAGCCCTGATCCAGCTCCTGTTCCCGTGCAAGCAGCAACACTGCCTAGCGGAGCAGCCCGATTCCACTCCTACTTGCCTGACCCTAACCCTTACTCTAATCCTTACCCTAACCCTAACCCAGCCCTCCTCTCCTCCACACACTTCCTCTACTCCCGGCACAGAAGCTATTGCCCTGCTGGGGCGACAGCATGTGTGCCCTCAGAGAGGGCTCTGAGTGTCCTCTCTGGCATGTGTGCCATAGGTCCACCACCACTGGCCTAGACTGTAAGTCCAAGCACATTCTGGAAATGTCAGAAAACACAACTTCATTTTTTATATATGTGTTTGCATTTCCCACAAGAAATGCAGGCCTGTATATGTGCATTTCTCAGGAGAGTCCATAAAAAGGAGGTACAGTAGCTAACATCTTGCACACAGGCCATGTTTCACATTCATTGCAACACAATGGCTACTGAAGAAAAAGTGTCCACAGTGCACCGTTCTCATAGCCTGGAGGGCTGAAATTCTTCTTCAAGGAGCTCCTCTACTGTCACATTCTCATAAGCCGGAGGAGGTGTGAGGGGTTCCAGGCGTTCCGCCCGCTCTTCAACACCTTTGACTTCATGGGTACCCGACACAAATCACTGCAGTTTGGGCAGTATGAGCAACCTGAGGCGGAACCTGGACTGTAGATCTGCCTCTGAGGCAGCCGTGTGCCTGGTGCCACCGAAACACTGAACGCCTCAACCACAGTCTCTCCGTGGGCAGGAGGCTCAGTGACCACGCTGCACAGAGGGGGTTCCACTGGGATTGTTCCTGGACTGGATGTGATGGTCCAGGTGGTGGGTCCCAATAAGTAGCCGGTAGTCACCACCTCCTCATATGCTGGTGCCTCATAGGCCTCCTTGTCTATGCTGGTAAAAGAGAGGGGAAGTAGTTAAAAACATTAATCCTCATAACAGCTCCATACTTCCACAAAGGAGGATTATCTGTGCTATCAACAAACAAGGCATGATAACTACCATATTCAAGCAATGGGATCATCAGGTGCATTCTGCTATCTGGCCCCCACAACCGCAGGCCTCATCTGCACCATGCATTTAAAACACTATGATACCAGATGTGTGTGGTGTAAATAATAAAATTTATATGACTATTAAACAGTGAGGGCTTGCCCCAAAAGATTTCTGGGAACTGTAACTTGCCAAAAGAGCTCTTAGGGGACTCCTACTCCTTTCACCAGAGCTACAGTTCCCAAAGTTCGCTGTGGAGAAGGAGTGACCATTAAACCTACTGTAGAATCTGAGAGACTTTAAGGGTGCTTCCAGATAGAATCCCACCCCAAAATATTGGAAAATTCTAGCTGCACAATTGTAGTCGATTGGTAGGTCTTGCGCAACAACCTTCTTCTCCAAAAGATTGGATTTTCGGCGATAAGTGAAGGGATGGTATAATGCAGTGCTTTTTTTCTTTAAAAATGTTTAGGGGTACTCTCATTTTGACTCAAGAAAATCACCATTTTATAGTTCAAATCAGGAAAAATAAATACAGTAAATTAACAAATTTACTGAGGACGAGATGGTTGGACAGTGTTCTCAAAGCCACAAACATGAGTCTGACCAAACTGCAGGAGGCAGTGGAAGACAGGAGTGCCTGGCGTGCTCTGGTCCATGGGGTCACGAAGAGTCGGACACGACTAAACGACTAAACAACAAATTAACAAAAGTACAATGATTCACAAAAGGTTAAGAGGTATGAATACCCCTGCGTCCCCCCAGAAAAAAAGCACCGGGATAATGCATTGGAAAGTGTGGTACAAATGCCATCTAACCTCTCTGCAAATATTGTCAGTATCTTTTAACTCAGTTGATGGGGATTCCTTCGCTCTTCCCCCTGGCTTTCTTGAAGTTGGTTCAGATGTAATGCCAACCCATGGTTTACATTGCTTTTAACAACCAGCCACAAGCAGTTTTGTTAATGTGATCCTGCAGTTCTCCACTGGGAATATTTCACATAATGCATGATTTGATTCACTGACCCAGGAGGAGGTGGTAACTAAGTCAACGGAGAACGGATAAATTACAAGCTATTTGCCACTGCAGTGGTACCTCGGGTTAAGTACTTAATTCGTTCCGGAGGTCCGTTCTTAACCTGAAACTGTTCTTAACCTGAAGCACCACTTTAGCTAATGGGGCCTCCTGCAGCTGCCACGCCGCCGGAGCACGATTTCTGTTCTCATTCTGAAGTAAAGTTCTT